ATGGATATCTTGGCATTAGCAATTAGAATGCTAGATTATTCTAGTTGTGTAAAAGGGTACGAAAAATAGTTGGTCTCAATTAGTATTTCAAACCAACTCCACGAGGCTCATTAAGAGTTGTATCTAGAGCTAAGCTTGATGACCTTTTAGCAAAGGTTAGAGAAGAAGTAGCTTGAAAGCACAAGTAGGATAATTTGTTGCTCTGTGAGCAAATTCTTTAAGAGGTCAGATCTATAGTCATTAGCATGGGAACTACACATGATACTGGGTAGGGAATTGGGCAACAGGAACCCCAAGTTTTCATTACTTCTATTTAGTGTAATATTTAGTTTTGTCTATTTTTTATTTTCTTTCATTATGTTTACTTATTCCTTCAGGCTTCTCTCGTGCTTCAAAGCACTAAAGATCAGTGTAATCTACCATGGCAACGTATGCCTTTAGTCCCTTAGTAGAGGGAGAACAAGTTTGTTTTCTTTATTTAGATAATCCTTAGAAGTGGATTGTTAGTTCAGCACAGCTATACATGCTTGTAGAAACAATCCATAACATGAATATTCCGGATGATCAAGTGAAGGTGACGATTGAGGTTGTTCTTGAGTTGAACATGAATGTACCATTCCCTACTGATGAGGTTGGGAAATTAGGTGAAGTACTGAGACAATTTATTTTATAGTCTAAAAGACTTGTTAACACAGAGGTGACAATTTTGATGGTAGAAAAACTCTTCATTATTCTTTGATTTTATCTTTTAATTACTTATATAACTTTTATTCATTTGATGTTTCATTAGAATTTTGATGATGCTGAGGACTACTCTTCTCTGCTACAATTATTTTAAACGGAGGGACTATAAATTAAGATTATTTTTACAAATATTAGATATTTATTTTGTTTTAATACTTTATGTTTTATTTAAATTTCATGATAAGGCATTGAAGATATATTATATGACCGGGAGAAAGTACTACCCACCAAAAAATATATCTCAAAAAAATCCTCCACCAACTTGGATCTTTTCAAACGTAAGTAATTTTAATTCAGTACTTTTTGTCCACAACTATTTCATATATATTTTTGTTTATACACATAATTCAATTTTTAATTTTCATGCCATCGCCGGATAGGGAGTAGAGAGTGTGGATATTATATTATTCGTTATATGAGATTATTCAATCCAAAACTAATGAAAATTTACACATGGTAAGTTATGTTTTTATTTATTTTAATAATACTAGTTTTATGAGGCTTTAAAATTTGGATATCTAATAAACATTTGATGAAAATTTATAATTTTTTGACAATGAGTACCCCTATACTAATGAAGACATAAGTGACATTCGAAACAATTTAGTAAACTATTTTCTTTAAGAGCTATTTACATAGTGATTTCATAGTTTGTCCGTTAAGTTAGAATTTTAACAAAAACAATAGAAAGTTAGAAGGATATAAACAATAATGTGTTCAAGTAGTCTGTTGGAATTTGACTGTAAATATTGGCACTTGAAAAGGTGACAATAATTTTGTTGTTCCATTGGTATGCTTAATTTAGTATATATTGTTGTGATAGTGTATGAATGGCTGCAAATGAGTTAGTACTTGCTAGACTTTCATTGTATGAATTGGCTATTTATATGGCATATTTTGGCAAATTCTATTTTGGTTGTAAAGCAAATGTAAATTATATATTAAAAAATTGTAAAAATCACATCACAAATAAAAAAAAGAGAGAGATATAGTACATAACAAACCACGTCACTTCTATTAAAAAAGGGACGTGATTTCTCAATTTAGGATGTGTAAGGATAAGAAACCACCTTACCCTTACTAAAGGGGGACGTGGTTTCTTTATAAATCATGTCCAACTCTTATGAGGGGGATGCGGTTTGTCAATCTGTGAGGTGGAGCAATGAAAAACCACATCCTCCTTACTAGAGGGGGATGTGGTTTTATATACCACATTCAACTCCTATCGAGGGGATATGGTTTGTCTGTAAATCACATCCCCAATTAGCAAAATAAGGATGTGGATTGTGTAGAAACCATGTCCCTTTTTATTAAAGGGGATGTGGTTTATAGTTTTTCAAGTCATAGATATTTGTAATATGGTTAAACCATTATTCTAAGTCACTAGTATGATGTCTCTTCCTGTTGTGACATGGAATGTCTTAAAAATGTGATGTAAAAAGGTTATTTTGTAGTAATGAAGTCACTATAATTGAATATGTACAAAAGATTATCAATAAGTTTTAATAATGAACTAACAAGTGTGTTAATAAAGTTAAGATAGGGTTTTGACAAGTCACTAGAATTGAATGTGTGTGTGTGTGTGTGTGTGTGTGTGTGTGTGTGTGTGTGTGTGTATAAGGTATTATCAACAAGTTTTGCTAGTGAATTAACAAGTGGCATTAGTAAATTAATAAGTTAAATTAAATGTTTAATAAGTTACCAAGATTTAATATGTAGAAGTATTGTAGAAAAGTTTCACTAATTAGTTAACAAATAGGATTAGTAATTTAACAAGTTACGTTAGGATTTAACTCTTGGATAGGGAGGCCCAACAAAAGATTAAAATTTTAAATTCTTATCCTGATGTGAAACAAACAAACTCATTTAAGTCAAGATGGATAGAAGAATTATCTTTTAATTCCAAGCTCCTCACATGTTGTCTTCAAGTAATTGGATCTTAGGAGTTGACAATACAGATTTGCTCCCTCTATTAGTATCCACACAAACAGGTTTCAACTCAAACCGCATGCTAGTGTTCAAAATGTCCATTCGTTTTTTTAAACATTAAAACTACTCTTCTCCAGTGTGTTTTCTATGGCTCCTAATGTGTTTTGCTGTTAGGATTTTTTTGACTCTTTAGAAAACCTAATGAAACATGTCTCCTCTTTAGAAAACCTAATGAAACATGTCTCCTTATCTATCATTTATATAGGTCAGGGTTTTTTTGTCTTCCTTTAATAAGTCAATAAAATTTAATTAAATTTATCTCATAAATTTAATCTATCATATCATATCTAATTTGAATTTATTTTATAAATTCAAAGTATAAAACTGACATGATATTCTCTTATATCATATTAGTTATTAAATTTAATATATCTCGTAAAATTAAATTAAAAACTAACACAATATAATATAATATAATACAATATAATATAATATATCAGATATACATATTATATTGCATATATGTACGTACATATGTATGCATACACAAAAATACACATATATGTATATATTTTTGAATATATATATATATATATATAATTATGTTTTAAATTTTATATTTCATATAAATATATATATATGAAAATATTTATCAAATAAATATATAAATTCATTCACTCTAGATAAAGCATTACATTCATTGAATCTAGACGCACTTCAGATTCAATGAATTTGAATATTTTAACTCGAGTTGGGCTATTTTTATGTGTAACCTTGTAGGCCTATATAAAGTCGACAATAAGTTAATTACGCTACTAGCCTACAAGTCACAAGTGACCTCTAGCAAGACATTGTGACTTTCCAATTCATAGGGGGATCGATGATCCGATGTAACCTATCATATAACTGTATTACATCCCTTTTGTCATACAATATTTTGATCAAGTGTAAGACATGAAATTATCATTCTCCTTTACTTGACCATTACTTTCTCAATCTCTGAGTGGATTGACTATAACAATGAAAAACATCCTTTTCATTATAATATGGACATATATTTTCTCAATCTTACTGATCAAGGAGCCCAGTAATATCTCTTAATTAACATGAGGAATAAATTTCATCTTGACCATTCATATTCTTCTACATGAATATCACTAAACTCAATCATAGCTTTTATGATCACCCGATCAAAAGTGACTTTTGACTAGGTCAAAGTTCAATGATCATCATGTAAGAATCTATGATGATTTTAGGTCAAAGGGTTTAGTGATATGGTTATGTATGAGATAAGCTTATAATTTGTACTATGCAACTTTCTCATAGCAGGTTGGTCCAACATCTTGTATTCTTTCAAGTGTTTATAATTTTGATTTATATTTCTATCATTAATCAAAGTCATACTGATCTTGTTTTATCTATAATCTCTCATAGATGACCGACCAGGGACATTTAGGACAATCATTATAGTTCATCTAAGGATATAATTATCATAGTAAAAATGTAATTGATATGATAATAAAGAAAAATTTATTAAATAACAATATTTATAGTACACTGATTGGCCCTAAGGTATAATTTTCAACATCAATAAATCCATAGGATTGGATATGTAAAAGATATTGTCAACAAGTTTTGCTAGTGAATTAATAAATAGTATTAGTGAATTAGTAAGTTAAATTAGAGATTTAACAAGTCATCAAAATTAAATATGTAGAATGTATGGTCAAATTTTGTTAATGAGTTAACAAATAATATTAATAAATTAACAAGTTAAGTTAGAGTTTTAACAAGTCATAAGGTTGATATTGTCAACAGCTTTTTTAATAAATTAATAAGTACTATTAATAAAATAATAAATAATATTAATAACAAGTTTACCTAGCATTGACTTGAAAGATTAATTATGTTATATATTTATTTTAGCACTACATTATAAAGAGATATCATTGGCTCAGTGATTAATATCTTTGAGGTACACTAAGAGATCTTGGATTCAACCCTTTAACAACCTTTCTGCATGTCTTTTTGGTGGCCATCCTCAAAGCCCTGGTAGCTACTAGCGGTGGACCAATTACACGAGCTCTAGCTGCCTCTATGGGACAGTTTGGCTGTCAATTCCAACAAGATAGATTTAACAAAAAAAATGTTTAAAGAGCATAATAATAATTTTTTTAAAACTTATTTTTAATTTAATACATTGGCCCTTGAGTGAATTATCAGAATTCATTAGGCTTGATTTAAAAATAATGTCTCATACTTGGTCCTAAATTATTCCAATCCCAATCTCAATTTATACCACCACGAGACTTTTCATTTTTTTTGTTTTTCGACTTTCTACTATCACGATCCCCGAGAGTGAAACTGACAGAGCAGCAGCCCAGCTTTACCTCCCCATTTTTTCAGAGAAATTTCAAAGGAATCAACAATTAACGATGGGAGACCAAGATCATCATAGCCAACAATCTCAAGATCTCCCTCACGTCCTTGTCCTTTATGAACACCATATCTTCAATGAACTCCAACGAATCTACTCTCACAAGTTCCATTTCATTCTCCTTCCTTCTTCCTCCTCTGCCCCTCTAGACCAATTCCTCACTGCCCACAACTACGATCCTTCTTCGATCCGTGCCGCAGTCGGCGCTTACCGGCCCATCACGGCCGACATCCTCGGCCGCCTGCCGTCTCTTGGCCTTTTGGTCACCCCCAGCGTCGGATATAACCATATAGACCTGACGGAGTGCCGCCGCCGGGGAATCAAGGTTGCTAATGTCGGAACGGTGTTGTCGGAGGACGTAGCTGATGCTGCGGTGGGCATGTTCATCGACCTGATGAGGAAAATTTCGGCCGGCGATCGCTACATGAGGTCGATGAACATTTCGCTTGCTACTACAGCACGGAATTTTCCTCTAGGTTCCAAGGTTCGCCTTGCATATATTTTTTTTTTAAGCATTAAGTAATGGTTAAATTTCCTATACATTGATTGTATTTTAGTTTTAGTTCTTCTGGCCAAAAAAAAAAAGTTTCAGTTCATGTTTTTGGCTTCATTCTTTTGAAATGTTAGTTGATCTATAGTCTTAAAAATTATAGACATGTTAGTCCCAATTCAAATTTTTTTTTTAAGATATTTTTAAAATTATAGAAACTAATTATATAAACGTTGCCAAAAAAAAAAACTACATAGACCGATTAAACTAAAGGACTATAAAGTATAAACAATGAAATAAAACAATAAAAATTAAAAGCAAAACACAATTCAAATATAGAAGTATTTTTCCTATCTTTTTTAATATGTTTTCAACCCACGATGTGCCGAGTCATTTTTATACATTGATTCAGGACATTGATTCAGGGTATTTTAAGAGAAAAATACTGTATTAATTATTAATTAATCATAAATATTTATAAATTTCTTATGTATAGGAATATCACTCCTTTCAAAAATTTATCTTATAATTAAAAGTAAAGGGAATATTATGCAATTTAACTAGGACTGAGAAAACAGATCAACCTGTTTGTACTATTATTTTTTAAGAGTCACGTTTTAATAATTACGCTCAAAATGACAAAAAGGTCTTTGGGCTTGAGTTAATAATTAGGGCTTAATCTTAAAGGACAACCTATTTTTCTTTTTCTTTTTTAATATTAAAAGTTAAATTTTAAAAAGTCATTAAAGTTCATTGTATGAGAATTTGCAGTGTAATTTTATGATATAAGTTCGATATTTTTTGAAAAATAAAGCTTATTTATTCAATGTAATTATGTTTTTATAATTCGTTACAATTTTCATATGATAACAGGAATTTTAATTTAAACGATCAAATTTTAGAACATTTGTATTGTGTATATTTTTATTTGTCCTTTTAAAATATTATAATTTGGATTTTAATTGTTTCAATTTATATATTATGTTTTCCTGTTTACTAATTTTGCATTTTAAAAAATGATACTTCATACGAGAAACATGACTTGTAACAGCCTTAGCCTTCTTAGCTCATTAGATAATCAAATCCTTTTCCCAAAATTTTCACAATCTTGGTCCAAAAATTGATTCAATTCAATGATCCAACTCTCAAATCTATTAATTCCATTGATTAAATTCTAGAATAAGATTATAGGTGCGAATACATGATATAATTATGCTCAACGTCCAAAGGAAACCAAAACTCATTCTAGTTACAAGAACTTGAAAAACCCAAATTCAATTGATAGAAAGTGTAGAATCCATGATTTAGTTGGTAGATTTTGGTGTTAAATGGTTACGTTGATCCAATTGAGCATAAATTGACCAACAAAGCTCCAAACTCAACCCTAGCAAAGCCTTGGAGAAATCACACCTTAAGAACCAAAAATCGCATCCGAAACAATTGAAATCACAAAATAATTTATGAGTTAAGAGTCATTTTTGCCTCCAAACTTTTCACTTAAGGTTATTGGATGCCCTTAATTTAATTGTGAGAATGTTTTGTTTTTGAACATTTGAAATCTGTTGTCTCATCACCTTGACATTAATGCACTTAACAGCCATTATGTGGCTCCCATCATTTATATTTTTTAAATATTTTTTTAAAACAAAGGTTAAGAGTCATTGTTCCTAAACTTTTTCATTAAGGTTTGTGAGTTCTTTAAATTTAATTTTAGGTTATTTTTATTCTTGAAAATTTAAAATTTGATGCCTCATTATCCTATCATCCATGTGCCTAACAGTCCTACAAGTGGGCCCATGCTTTATTAAGCTGTCATTTTCTTTAAATACTTTTTATAATAAAATATTACATGTGGGTCTTAGATTTCTTCCTCTCCCCTCTCTCTCCTCCTCTCCTCTCCACGTTCTGGAGCAGGTTCCAAACAGGGTTGCAGCTCCTCTTTGTCCACGCCTAGTTCATAGCTTGTCCGTGGCTGCTGGAACTTTTATTAGTGTCTACCCTGTTTTCTATTTTTTAAACCCTAATCCAGTCTTAAAGCTCCTAAACCCTCCCTAAACCATTTCTAATTATCCGAGAGACATCTATAATGTTCTAAAACACAATTTAGGGTATCCAGAAACTCAGGTGGTTAAGAAGATACAATCCCATGATGAATCAAACATTTGACATATTTAGGGTACTATTAAGCAATTTGCTCGATGTTCTATAAATATATATTTCCATGATTTTGATTACACACTGCAACGAATAATACTTTACTTGCTTCATTAGGTGAGAGGCAAGCGTGTTGGTATCGTTGGATTGGGAAGCATTGGTTTGGAAATTGCCAAGAGACTTGAAGCCTTTGGGTGCATCATATCATACAACTCAAGGACCCAGAAGTCAACAGTTCCTTACATTTTTTACTCCAACGTTGTTGAGCTCGCAAGTTCCTGCGATGCACTCATAATATGTTGTCCATTAAATGAGCAAACAAGGCACATAATTAACAGACAAGTGATGTTGGCATTGGGAAAAGAAGGAGTCATTGTGAACGTTGGAAGAGGGGCTCTTATAGATGAAAAGGAATTGGTTAAGTGTTTGATGGAAGGAGAGATTGGAGGGGCTGGTTTGGATGTGTTTGAGGATGAACCTAACGTTCCTAAAGAGCTTTTTGATTTGGATAATGTTGTCTTATCTCCACATACAAGTGCAGTAACTTCAGAATCTATGAGGGGTGTTATTGAGATTGTGGGAGAGAATCTAGAAGCCTTCTACTCAAATAAGCCTCTAATTACTTCAGTCTTGTTTGATTAGCGGAAGGAGAAAACTTGAGGCACACTAGAAATCTAGAAGCCTTCTGCTCAAATAAGCCTCTAATTACTTCAGTCTTGTTTGATTAGAGGAAGGAGAAAACTTGAGGCACACTAGAAATCTAGAAGCCTTCTGCTCAAATAAGCCTCTAATTACTACTTAGCTGATTGTGTAACGCCTACTTTCTTTGATTATGGTTGCAATTCGAAATTTTTGGTTAATTGATGTTAGAATTTCTGCTTCTACACATTTTGTCCCCTTGGTTTGGATGGATGGAAAAGTGGAAAGAAAAATATGAAAAAGAGAAAACTATTAGGAGAAATTTCAAAAAATAATTTTTTTTTTTACTATGTTGGGGTTTTCTTTCCTTGTTTTCTTTCATTTTTCCCCCCTCTCCATCCAAATGAGAAGTTTCTGTCGTAGGTGTTTGGCTCATGAGTTCTAAAGCATTATGTACGGATTTTGGCACAGAACCTAGTTTTCAAGTTTCAAGAGGTGCAACAATTTCTTGTGTTGAGACGAGCAAAGTGTAATTTCGAGTTATATAGTTCATGATTATATGAGTTTAAATGCAAGGAACCAGCCCGGACACCACAACTAGCCTTTGATTTACATTAAATGAGATGATGACATATCAGACTTGGTAGGCACGGAGCTCAATGCCAACCCATTTTAACTTGTGGAGCCACAGCCCAAAAATGGTTCCAGGAATAATGATTTGTGTCTAGAGCTACATTCTCATCTGCTTGGTGGAGCTGTTATATAGGATATATAGATTGAAACAAAGTGGAGTGAATCAATTTGAACATGGAAATATGTAAATTTTTGTGCTTGAAGGCTTTTGAGTCATTTTGTGCTCTAGAGAAAGAGAGGGAACCAAGGGCAGGGAACATGAAAAGATTTAATTGTAAGAGAGGTTTTTAAGAATTATTTCAAAGTTTATTGATCCTTTAATACAAATATGTTGAATTTTGGGGTTTGCAATGCAATTGTCCCTTTTAATAATACACTATCTCACTTTTTGGGATGTGGATCATGTGCAGTGCTAATAGTAAAGTAAATGGGAAGTGGGCTCATATAATCCATTCATTTCATCTAACGGTTGAGAAGAAAATGGTGCTTAGAAAGCTTTATTGTTTGCAAAACAGTCAAACTTTTTCTATAGTAAAAAATTAATTCACAATTTAAATTCTAAAAAATTATTAAAAAATTTAATTTTTTATATTTTAACATTTTTCATAATTTTTTGAGATTTAAATAATAAACTAAGTTTTTTATTGTTAAAAAATTCATTAGATAGTATGGGTATGATCTTTGCAAAATATTTAAATTTAAATTTAAATTTTTATATTTTTTATAATTTTTTTAGATTTAAATTGAGAAGTAAGATTTTTCATGTTAAAATAAAAAAAATGATTTTTTTTGGGGGAAAAATAATCAATATTATTAATAAAAGTTAAAAGTAAATATATACAAAATCATTAAGGAAGAGACACGTGTAGAGGGACGATTTCCAATTTCATTTGGTAGAATAGGAACGATTTTTTCAGAATATTTAAAATATAATAAATTAATTTTTTAATAACTTTTTAGAATTTAAACTGTGAAGTAATTTCTTATTATAAAAAATTTTGAGCATTTTACAAATAATAAATTTTTACGCATTCTTTTCTTCTCAACCATTAAATGAAATGAATGGATAAAATTAACTTATTTTTCATCTACTTTATCATTAACATTGCACATGATTCACATTCTACTTTTCAACAATGAAAGCAGGCTTAGCTTACAAGCTGAGCAAATTACTTCATATAATTAAAAGCAACAAGTCTAGGTACAATGAGAGAAGGAGAGACAAAAATCTATGAAGCAATTGCTCTCCCTTAAGAGGGAGAAAACATGAAGTAGAGTGAGAAGCTATACCTTCTCTCTAGTTTTTTGGAGAGAAGGTCTATCTTCTTCCCTGATTTTCTACCTTCTAACCTCCTTCTTCAAGCTTAGTCTCCATCTTGATGAACTCTAAATTTATTCTAGACCCAAATTTCATCTTCTCAGCATCAATGAAGGACAAAGAAAACATGAACCCACCAACTTATTCTAAATGGTGGTCCCTAGACTATTTTTAATCACTGCATCCTCATCCAGCGATGGTCACCAAACTTCAATCCTAACACCAACTCTCTAAGTTAGATTGCTCTATGGGTTAGACTTTCAAACGTCCCAATCCAATGTTATGATAATGACATTCTCTGGAGGATGGGAAACTATATTGGAAAGACTCTTAAAGTAGACACAAACACACTTTCAGAATCAAATTCTCATAATATAGCTGGGAAAACAAAAAGAGAGGTAAATTTTTTAGAATTAGTATTGAAATTGATTTACAAAAAAAAAAAAAACTTGTTCCAAGATTGCTTATCAGAGATGAACTTTATAATGTGGAATATGAAAGTCTCAATCTCATTTGTTTTGGGTATAGCTGCTATGTTCACAATAAGAGCAATTGTCCCCATAATCTAGAAAACTTGCAGAAGAAGCAAAAGGGGAATGAAGCATAGAATAAGCAACAATTCAATCACACAAACCCAAAGAACCAATTGGGATCAACGACTAATGAATCATCGAAAAGCTTACCGAAAGAGGACTACAGTGAATGGAATAAGCCTTGAAGGCCTTTCAAAGCACATTACACGAGGCACTCGATAAATAGAAACTTTAAGCCTCCAACAGGAAGATTTTCCAATCAACGTCACAGGCACCTTACACACGCATTACAAATCTCTCCTCCAAATCTCCATTTGATGTTTTATCTAACCTCGAGCAAGTCAATGGCGGCAAAATCAGGAAAGGCAAGCAAGAAATCAAGCAAAATAAGCCTCCTACGAACTACCCTAATAATATTGTCAGGAAAGTAGGGAGAAGAAAAGACCTCTTTGGGTCTAAAAGAGCAAGACAGAATGACACACACGATGAACCCACATAGAAACCTTGCAACACAGATGACACAGATACCCTTTATTCTAAAAGAGAAAAGCCGATGGATAAGAGGAATAAAAAAAAAGCAAATTAGGCCGAATTTCATTTGGGAAGGCCCAAAGTCTTGAATGATGATTTTTTGAAAGAACAAGAGAAGCCCAATAACACACTAACCAAGCCAATATAAAAATACATTCAGTTGTAAAAGGAAGCAAAGGAACATGAGCTCCTCTTCTCAGCCTATCAGCGCCAGCAACATAGATAAACCTAATATTGATACTCAAAACGCAACTCACTTATTTTCACCGAATCCTAACGTCTGGAATAAGTTCATCACACCTGAAAATATTCAACCACAAACCTAAAACCAAAACAAACCTCTAGACCCAAATTCCTCTCCATTTATCGTTCCTAAGACACAATTTAGTGATGGCATTATAATGGAAAATTAGAACAAAATTCTAAGGGAACTAGAAAACATCATTCTTGCGAGTGATCTGGACAACGAAGATATAGAGGATGATATCCTTGATGAAGACTTTGAAAATACTCCTTTTAATGAAGACCGAAAGATGATTACTTCAGTGATGATCAGGATGAGGGAATGTGGTCAGACATTTACGATTAATCCCCATATAGGTTCTTCTTTCCTTTTATCTTTTTCTATGAATATTATCTATTGAAATTATAGAGGTTCTTGTGCCAAAAGCTTTCCTTCCAGATTTAAAGAAATTGCTAAATGCTATAATACTCAAATTTTTGATTTTGGTTAAGACTAGAGCTAGTAGTGTAAAAGCTGATAAAATTATTAGGAAACTAGAATTCTCTTATTGGATCCATGTTGAAGCCACAGGATATACTGGAGGTATCTAGTTGCTTTGGAATAGCAATACAGTGAACATTGACTACATTTACTCTAATGTGCAGCTCCTATATTGCAAAGTCACTATTCCTTATAATAATTCTTCCTCTTTTATCCTGCATTTATGGGGATCTTAACCCTTGCAATCGTGACTATCTTTGGCAACAATCATTAATCTCTCTAGCAACATAAATGAACCTTAGCTTCTTGTTGGTGACTTTAATCCTACCTATCTAGTGAAGACAAATGTGGTGGTAATGGTTATAATTGGAGATCGATGAAACTCTTGAAACAATGCATTAACCTTTCTAATCTCCTAGATCTTAATTACACCGAAGAAAGATTTACTTGAAAAATGGAAATATCAAAGAGAGACTTAACTGGGGCCTTTTGCAATACTGAATAGAGATCTTCCTTTGCTAATGACAATAGCTATCACCTTCTTAAATATGGATTAGATCATCGACAAATTAAAATTAACTTGATGATCAGAGTGTTATGAACTAGCGGGCTTACCCTTCAAATATCATGCTACATGGTCTCTAGAAGATTTCTTTAGACCTCTTATCAATGAATCATGGCATGGCAAAGATTGGACAAAAGGGACCTCTAAATTCGACAAGC